AGCAAAGATATTTTGACACTTGGCATCGAACAACTCCGAATGGTAAAAAATAGACAATAGTTGAACGGAAAATATTTCACATACTCTCACTTTGCACAGTATAGTGTAGTATATGTAGATTGTGGTTTAATAAATATCGACTATTTATTGTTGACTTAAAATTAAGACCCACCTTTATTTGGGTTACATATTATTGAAAGCAAGATATCCCTTCTAGTCAAACCCTCAAAATTAAGACCCACCTTTATTTGGGTTACATATTATTGAAAGCAAGATATCCCTTCTAGTCAAACCCTCATAAAAAATAGAAGCTACACCGAATCTTACATATTATTGAAAGCAAGATATCCCTTCTAGTCAAACCCTCATAAAAAATAGAAGCTACACCGAATCGTGCTTATCTGGAATATCATCCATCAAAATATCCTGAAGATTCTTGACTTAAATTTGTGGCCCACCTTGATTTTGGTTAAAGATTATGGAAAGCCCAATAACCCTAATAGCCCAAGCTCATAAAAAAATTAAAAGCAACACCAAATAATGCTTATCTGGAATATCCTCCATCAAAACATCCTGCAAATTCTTGACTTAAACACCTTGATTTTGGTTAAAGAATATTGAAAGCCCAATGTCCCTAATAGTCCACCCCAGACTTATAAAAATTAGAATCTACACCAAATAATGCTTATATTGAATATCCTCGGCCAAAATTCTCCTTGTCACGAGTAAAAAGTTATAAAATATAGATAGTTAAATATTCATGAATTTTTGTTAGCTTCCGTGGTTAAGGGTTTTTGCTTTAATATATCAGATCCTGTGTTCGAACTCTAGGACTGCCACTATTTTCTTATTATTTGTGAAATTTTTACATATACACCCAAGCATTGTATACATTAGTAAATATCCCCTCCAACGCATCTTTTTACTAATTTCCCTTCTAAATTGTCTTTTCCATTTAAGCTTATGTCTCAAATTGAACGAGTATTTAATACCAAGCAAATCGAATACACATTTGGTTAATTTCTATTTGTTTATGAATTGAATAACTAATAGCTATTCGTTTATTGTTAAATAAGATAGCGAATCAAATATGATTGAATAGCTGGATGAATAATTACTAAACTGTTTATTGATTATTTGGTTAATTTCCACCCCTACCTCTAGGCTCATAAAACACATCTACTATTAATGTTTAAGATGCATATGTTGCTATTGTCAGAGAAAAGTTATTCCTAGGTATTCTACCCCGATACTAATGACCATATAAAATTTGGAGATGTACTACAAAAATTGTGCACAAGACTCCAATTTTGACAACTTAATAGAGAGACGTGTGGAAAAAATAACAAACAACCTAATTTACTCTTTTTTTTATACGTTTCCAAAATCTTTGTGACTCAAACCACAAGTAACAAATGCTATAATAATTAACAATATGTTTTGTTATACATAAATTTGTGATGGATTGTTATACATAAAAGATAAATATCAATATATTTTGTTATACATAATCGTGCAGTTGCGGTTGATGGAAAATATTAAACATTTTAATTCAAATTGACAATAACATTGAAGTCACGTGTAACTTATTTTCTCATGAATAAAGGAGAAAACGTTGATTAAGGTATGTGACGATATGTTGTTCGAACTAATTATAAACTTCTTATTGATAAATATGTAATGTGTCATGCGAGTAAAAACCGGATGGCGAGCATTAGTAAAAGATTAAATAAACCATTGAGCAAAAAATTAAGATTTATTTAGCGAAAGCGGCAAGCGCGCGAAGTGCTAAGTGCGTCTAAAATATCGCGTCAAAATCGCGCAATATTCGCGCCACCGCACGCGGGTTTGAGAGTCTAATCTTTGGCCCATTTATCAAAAGTTACAACAGTAAGTACGCTTTTAAACCACTAAAACTCTTGATAAATAATCAATGTGGGACTATTTTTTAAACTAATACGACCATTAGTTGCTTAATATCCCACCCGTGGCTCAGCCTTTATTACTATATAATAACCTATAACGTGCTTTTTCGATATTTTCCACCTCCCCACCCGCCCCCTCGAATATTTTCGCTTTCCCCCCAAAAGTTTCGTCCTCCCCAAAATCGCCAACAAATCCACCGCCGCTTGGTCCTCCTCCTTGCTCGTTGCCCCGAGATCGACCTCCTCCCACACTCCTTCTCGTCCGTTGCCAGGATTCCATTAGGGTATGAGCGATTAGGGCGAACTCAGCATTCCTCCTTCCTCTTCGACGCCCGCCGGCTGCTCCTCTTTTTTCGACGAAGACCAGAATCCCCTCAACAATGGCTGCCCCTCGGCCTCCATCAGTCTCAATGCTAAGGGTCAGGTATGATCTTTGAAATTTTATTTTTCCTATTCGCTTGGTGATTTCGACTCAAATTTTGCAATTTTGAATTCAGAGATTTGATGTTTTATTTGTATTACATTGAAGAGAGAAGCTATGGTTGTATCCCTTCCACCAGTCCATTAAGAAAATAATTGTTTTTTTAAAAATATTCCTGGTGCACATCTTCAAATTGGTAATTTTGTTTTTTGTTCAATTTCTATTGGTTCATTACAACTTGGGATCTTTGCTTAAATTTCTATCATTTTTTTAAATATTACAACTTGGTAATTTTATCAACATGGACCTGCAGAGAAATCACAGGTTGACCTGCATGCTTGTAAGTTGTGCAATATTTCCTTCAAATTTGGTTTCATGGTGTTTTAATTAAGTTAACAAACTGCTGTTAGCGATTAATCAGATTATACGGTGGGAAAGCAGATTATGAGGAATTAAGCATTTTAGATTTTTTAAATTATATATAAAATTAATCATAAAAATATAATAATCCATGCAAAGTATGAAAACATTCCAAAACAAATACTAACGATATTACCCTTAATTATTCATATCCAAGTCGTCATACAAATAAAAGTATAACTAATAAAATTCAATAAACTAAATATGTTCCTTTGTTTTTTCAGTGTATTTTTAATACATGTTAAATTTTGCACAGTCTTTTGCATATTTCCAGATTCTCAAGGGGCTACATATAATTCTTTAGGTGTATTTCGAGAACTATAACTCCTTGTGTGTGACATTGGCGCTGGCTATAGCTTCTCTCATAATAGTTGGTGAAACTATCCGAGGAGGTTTTAGGTGTATTTGAAGTACTATAAATTCCTTGTTGAGCAAGTCCTTAGCTCCTTTTCGTCATCTTACTTCAAATGGTGTTTTTGGTAATTTCAAAAATTTTATGGGTTTTTATAAGGTTTTTAAACATCATATTTTCAATGGCATATTTATAATTTTTAGGGTGTTTTCTTTATTTTTTAATTTTTTACAAGGTTACTAATAGTGGATAGCGTCGCATAGTGGCGACGTACCGCTAAGGCTATTTGCGCTTATACTGCAGTATATCGATAAATAGCACATAGTCAAATAGCAGTCAAATTTAAATATTCTAAAAATAAGAAAAATTACACAAAAATCTATAAATACCGGACAAATGCATATTTGATGATTTATAGAGACCCTAAGCACGAAGTAGGTTTGCAAGTGTAAAAAATTGCATAATATTAACAAAGTACTATAAAGAATAAAAACGCGTACATGTTTATCAAAAAGACTGTTATTTGTCCCATTCCTTCAACTTTTAAGTCCCTTATACAAAAATTCTCAACAATAAAAAGGCATTGATTAGTTGCACAATCATTATATTAACTATTACAAACTTGACAAAAAAGTTAAATCTTCAAGCATAGATAAATGAGCAAAGTCAGAAGGTGAGGCCGGGGTTGGTCGTGCTACCGGAGAAAGTGAGACCGTGAGAATGTGAGTTTGGAGGTGGTGGTGCTGCTTCCGCAATTATCCCCGCTATAGCGTTGATGTTGGGAGCTCTTTACAACACTCTATGTTTAGGCTGTCATTTGTTATTTTTGAAAATTTCACAGTTATTTGTAAATTTAAGTAAAAAAACCACAAATTTGTTAACTTTATTAAAGTACCGCATTGGGCAAGCAAACATAGTATAAGGGGGGAAATAGGGAGTTTGAAACTAAAGGGGCAAGTTGGGAGTTCAGCAATATTTAAAGGAGTTAATCATTTTGTATTTTAAATAATGATTGGTTTTCTATGTAGGTGACAAAATTGTAAAGCTTTCTGTACCAAAGTTAGGTAGCATATACACTTTTAAACTTGCTGAACATGTCAACTAGGGGCAAAGGTTAGTGCGGCAAAGGGAAACAAACTAGGAGCAGATGTACTAAATTAGAGTGTATGACATCTATTGGAATCTTTGAATGCATTCTGGAGATAACAATGCGAATGTTTGTACTAAATTGGACCCTACTCCTTAGAACCACTAGGACTAGCAATTATTGATAATTGAGGGTGACAGGATATATATGTGATTCATTCTTTTGAATTCTATGCTAGATTTTAATTTCAATTTCGGAACAAATATTAAACTTTGCCCTAGTACTTTCTGGAACAAATATAGTTCTGGATTTTAGTATTAAAATTTTAGTACAAATTAAACCCTAACTTAGTGACTTTTAGAGTTCGGATTTGGGAATTTGCTATTTATAGTTCTTTCTGCACATAAAAATGAACTGCTAAAGCTGAGGCTGTGAGTTTCTAAGAGTTGCAGTTCAGAGGTTGTTGCTAATGAATTGCAAGGGTGCTAGTACCAGTAGCGGATACTGTATAGATTGCTGAACCAGAACGCTATCCCTCCACAACCCCCAAAAACTAACCACTACTATTCCATAGACTACAAAAATACCCTTCTCCCGTTAGACATAGAAAATGGTAGTTATGAGAAAGATGGTGAAATATTGGACAAATTTTAGACGGATTCTTCATTGTCACTGGCCCAAAATGGCAGGCAAGATCTTGTTCATAAAGTTGTTTTTGGCTGCTCTTTTATGTTCATCTTTATCACATGAATCTCTCACATCTATTTAAAAATAAAATCAAGCACAATGATTTTGTTTGGCTTTCCATCTTATTGATTGTACATAATCGTTGTTGATGTATAAGGTGTTGAGATGGAAGTATTATGTATATAAGACATATCAACATGTGCATACTTGTTATACAAAATTGATTATGCTTTCTCATAACTACTTAGTGTCTACGTTTCACAGATACGGGTGCGGGTACAAACACTGTTGGCACGAGACGCAAAAAAATTGTAAGAGGTGACTTACTCGCCGCACTTGTTGGGTTCTCTTCTCATTTACTCAACATAACTGCTTTAGTAATTTTGAACTCTTCATTCACCATGCCTCCAATGCTATTTGTTGCTCCTCCCTTTGTATTCTTCATTCGTTTAAATATTAAACACAATTTTCAAATATCATTTTAAAAACACAATTGGTAGGTATTTCTAGCCACCCCTCAGTGCTTCCAAGAAGCCACTTTTACTGTTTTACATGTAGTTTCTCCACTCAACCATCACCCCTCTAAAGCATTTCATCACTCAGTTTAGCTAGGCCACATTGCAAGCGACCTTGCCAAAACCTTTACTACTTTTAGTCTAGTGGAAAGTTTCGTACTTTTTGATAATTCATCTACCTATATATATCCCACCAAACACCTCTTAAACCGACCACAAGTTATTTATTTGCTCCCTAGCTGAGGAAGATTATGTATTGGTACTAATTCTAAGATCTACACGTCATTCTTAAACTTATGTCAACTCATCATTTAATGCGACATACTTCATTCTTTTTAGTCTCTTATGATGACAAGTAAAATCACTTGAACTCATTTAGTTGACACCTCATCTCTAAACCTCTTATATATCTACATAAATAGGTGATAGCGTTTTCTTACCAACTGATCTACTAAGGTCAATATATTATTTTCTTGGTAAAGGGCACGTTGGAACATATCCATTTGATAAGTTAACACTGTATGCAACTATAATATCATGTTTGAATATTGCTATTTGACCACTCATGTGAATTTTCCTTGCAAGTTGCAACTAAGCTCGATTTCATTTGTTAACTTATCATCATCATCATCATCATCATGTCATTATTGGTGATAGCGTTTTCTTACCAACTGATCTACTAAGGTCGGTATATTATTTTCTTGGTAAAGGAAACGTGGGAACATATCCATTTGATAAGTTAACACTGTATGCAACTATAATATCATGTTTGAATATTGCTATTTGACCACTCATGTGAATTTTCCTTGCAAGTTGCAACTAAGCTCGATTTCATTTGTTAACTTATCATCATCATCATCATCATCATGTCATTATTGTCATCATCATCATCCTAATTATATTCAAGTAATATGGTAGACTAATATATTTTGTACTACTTCGTAATTCTTACATTGTTATACCAGTTTGCATCGTAAGTTGACGTACCATATTATATTTGTATTTTGTATCCTTAAGAGACATAGCATACTATAAGTAAATAAGCACAATATCCCTAGCTTCCCTATAGTAATTCTTAAAATAAAAGTCAACTCTCACACGTTTGTACGTAATCCAAAACGTTATCGTTTTTTCTTACATTTCATTGATAGCGATAGTGCACTGGATGTGCAATCTTATCAACCAAAGTGACATTGTATGGTTGTGGGTGAGGTTCAGCTTTTACGTTCATCCTCTATTCTACAGCTGAATTGGCAATTATGTTCACATAGCTACCTCATCAATCATGAACTTGTAAAACTTAATTTTCATTTTTGATGTAGTTGTGAAAAATATTTGTCCTACACCACTCTTCATCATCCCCATGTGAGGCTAGCAATGACATAACAATATGGTAACCATGATCAGTAGGGGCATCCGACATATGTCTGTTGGGTCGATCCTGTCGGATGATCGATTAGGTATGGCGGGTCAATAAGGAGTTGATTGGGTAACGAGTTTTACTTGACACACCGCTAATATAATCAATTGGCATTACAAAATTTTAGTCTATGGCAATGGTTTACCCGCAACGGTTTTAATCGTTACCTTTAGGGTCCAGGAGAGCGGTTTTATAACTGTTTTAAACGTTACTCTTGTCTTTGTTCAGTGGTTCAAAATAACCACGCCAATAGACTGAGTATTACATCTTGGACGTAAGCTAGGCCTTTAGTTTAGATAGTGCCCCAATTCTAACCCACTCATCACGTTCGAAATGCTGTGTTAGGTATGTCTTCTTTTCTAATTTTTAGTTAGTGGTAATCTAAGATCAATATTTTAAAATACTTTAGCACCGTGCAATTGATCAAACATGTCATCATTTGAGGCAATGGGCAATGGCTATTTATTCTTTGCTGTGATTTTATTTAGCTTTCTATAGTCAATGCATAACCTCATGCTACCTCCTTCTTCTTTACATAGGAGCCTTAAATATAGTAGCATGAGGTTATGCATTGACTATAGAAAGCTAAATATAGGAGCCTTAAATATAGGAGCAGTTTCAGGAACTAACTCAATAGTAAATTCAATTTTTAATCTAGTGGTAATCCAAACAACTCTTTAGGGAAACCTCAAGATACTCGAGAACAATCGGAATGCCATCAAGTTTTACTTCTTGTTTCTTGGTATCAATGACAAGCTAAATATCCTTGATATCCTTTTCTAAGAAGTTTACTAGCTTGGATTACTGATATGATGTGAGCGGAAAAGATGTCCTATAACGTTGGCAATTAAATCTGACAAGCTAAATAAGAAAACATTGTTAGTAAACATAGAATAGCATATAAAGAATAAAGCAAGTAAAATATAAGATATAACATAAAGAATGAAGATCACAACTCACAAGATTCATATTAAACATAAGCAAATCAAAACAAACAAACAAAATTTTAAAGCTACAAATAGTTTATAATTGTTTAACATTCAAGAGGAAATCCATAATAACATAAAAGCTAAGATAACTAGAAAGTCTAGAATCAATCTTCATTGTTATCAAAAGTAAGATCATCATCCTCATCCGAATCCGTGAATAACGCATCCAACTCTTCTTCCTCATCATATTCCATCGGCTCCTTTCCTTTCGATAAAGATGATCCTGACTTCTTCTTTCTTTTATACATTTGCAACTATCCACTCTTTCTCTTCATTGGATTATCTCCCAAACTATCTCCAACTTGTCTAAAAGTCAAACACTCACCCGGGAATACTTCAACATCGCTTGAAATTCCCCTCCTCATCCGACAACTATTAAGAGACCTTATCCTCATCATCGTTGGCAGTTAAAGGATCTCTATTTATAACGGCATGTTTGTTCTTCAAGTTTGCATTGAACTTGAAAAATACTAACTCATGAAGTTTTTTATGAGTTAGCCTATTCCTCTTCTTCGTATGAATCTACAAAATATAATCATGAATTAGCATAAAAAACTAGTCATCAAATACTACAATACATGCCTACAATTTCTAGTTGCAAGCCGATGAGCTATTTGTCAAGCCCAATATCTCAAATGTACTACAATTTCTTTCACAAGCCGATGAGCTATTTGTCAAGCCCAATATCTTCATTGACATCTTCCTCAACTCGAGAGTATCGTTTCCATAAAGCCTCCACCAAGTAACTAGTCAAATCATAATTGAAAAAATTAGTAACTTAATTTAATTCAAAAAAGAGGTCAATGAATTAATTTAAATGAGAACATAAATTTACCAGACAATCACCCTTAGTAGCTCCTCGCCTCGCAAATTGATCCCCTGACCCTAGGGCCTAGGCGTTCTTGATAATTAGGTATTCGATCTCCCTAAATGTCCATGTAAGCCGGGTAATAAAAAAAGGATTCAAAAAGTAGCCCGCTTTATGTAGCGTTCCACTAAGATTCTTCTTAAATCTTGGCTCATCATTTTCAATATGCGATTGTACTTCTTCTCATCATCTCCAATGATCACTTTCAACTCCTCCATAGGCACCAACATGTCCCCATATATAAATTCCATCGAACCGATTTTATCACCATCCACTCTTCGAAGAACCTTCACTAGAGGAGTGAATACTTTGAGGGCAAAGTCTTTCATCTTTTGCTCTTAAATGAACTGACAAAAGTACTTATCATAAAATTTCATGAGTTATTCCCACGTCAGTTTCTGCACATTCTTTCCCAAGCTACGTTCTTTAGTAACCCACCAATTCATAGCTTTAGTTTCCATCATGAAAATAGCATAAGTAACTTTCTCTTGATCAGTACAATTACATACTCTAAATATCTTCTCCAATTTCTTTATCCTTGCTTCTGCCCTACTAGGATCTGCTGCACCAAGGATGGTGGGTTCATGGACTTGAATTTCTCAAAATCACACCCACTAGTTTTTACATTACGATTAGCTCCAAGTGCCTTACCGCTAAATCCTCTATGATTCTATTTTACCTTTCCATCAACTCAATTTGCCTCTTGTCTAATTCAATTTTGTCTACCCATTGGCTCATTTTGCATATCCGCTTCTGGACTGAGAGGTGGATCGGTCTGGTTCTTGCTTTAGTTTCTTTCTTGCGCACTCAACCATCCCCTGGTCAAGCTCTGGACGAATCAACTTCTTCAGTTTGCTCATCACCACCTGGAACATTCAATCCCTTGTTCAATTGCTAGAATTTCATGGTTCAATCTTACACTAGCATTTCAACTATCATTAATTTTGGGAGGTTCAACAATTGAAACATTAGCCTTAGGTACGGCTCCTGTAGCACTTGCAACACTTCTTCTATGACAAATGATAGGTGTTGGAGTAGGTGTAGCATTCTTATTTGTGCCAATACTCTTCTTATCACGTGCCATCATTCAAAATTCCTCTTAGAATCCTCGAAGTAATATAAAGTTGCATAATTACTATGATGCTACATACTAACCAAACATTATGAATGCAATAAAATCATATCATAGTATGAGATCAATGCATAGCTCCTACATCTTGGAATCTATCCTGTTATCACGTGCCATCATATCTAACTTACATCATGGATTACACATTTTTTTTGATCAAAACATATGTACATCATCAATAGTACACTATGTATCATTCTACAATGCTCTAGTACAAGATAAAATTTGTACTCGAACACATTACAGAACTACTTCTGGGAGGGACTCTTTATTACCAAAACCTTGTCTGGGGGATTGATTGTAGCTAACCGATCCAGTTCACGTCTTAAATCCTGGTGGAAATCATTTCCTCAAGTCACACTCATCTGAAATATTTATATTAGGTGTGAGCTTTCCACACGCTATTCATTAAATTATGTAAACAAAACCATGCATATCATAAAACATAAAACTTCATTTCAAATGATATATTTGTAAACTTTGTGAAAGCAAGGAAATTAAGATTAATTAACGTCACACCCTATCTTGACAACTAAACTGTCTACAACGACGATCTTAAACGAAATATTATCTGTCACAGCGCTTTGCCTTTGACGCCTTAACCAAATTGTCTATAATGGTATTTGGTTCGGAGTGCCTATAGTGGCGATTTGCCCATCAGACCACCCTTCTCCCTTGAAAGGCATGTGACTTGCTGTACACCTTTGGCCAACAAACAATGCAACATAATATCATAACATGATACAAATGTCATTAAACTAAACCTCTAATCATGTAAAGCAATCCATGACAAAATTAGTGTCTGATATGATGATATAGACAATAATTCATGCCATATGACCACAATTATAAAATAACCTAAAGAATAGCATTAATATGAATTTCATGCTTGTATGACCATGAAAGATGAAATTCTAAAAAAGAAACCGAGTATAACATAAATTAAAGAATATATCCTTATTTATCGGTCTTTTCACTGTTTCAAAAGTCTTCCGCCTAACTAGTGCCTAGAGCCTAGGCGGTACCTAGGCTGCCCACCTAGATTTTGTAAGTGTTTAGGGGAGCATTGTTTGCTTACGTGGACTGTACCCTTTAGGTCTTGACCGTGATTTTCTGTGTTGCAGCCTCCACGTCCTCCAACCTCCTTCAAACTCGTTTAACCTCCAAATATGAGCACCTCTACTACCTCCTTCGACATTCAGCAAATCTTCCTCGACTACCACTTAAATAAAAAAAGAAATCCGCCTAGACACTAGTCCATCATCTAAGCTTTTTATAACATTAACATAAACTATCAATTATTGTAATTAAAAAAAACAAAATCTCCTAGCTCCAAGCGACAGGTCCAATGCCTAGGTCTCCTAGCACTTCCTATAATATTGTTTATTGTTTTGACTATTCAGCATTTAAATATGCATGGTTTATTGTGGATCTAGGATTGTTATCTTTTTTTTACAAATTTATATGAATTTAATATATATTATTATCAATTATTATAATTAAATAATTTAAAAATAGCCAAACGCCTAGGCACTACTTAGGCATACGCCTAGACGTCTAGGTGTTAGGCGCTAGCTCAAACGCCCAGTCCGCCTAGCGCCTTCCGTAACATTGGGTCCTTTGCAAATTTCAAATCCTCGTGTAGTCATTCAAATATAAGTCGGGAACATGGTACGCTATAGCGAACCACAACCCAGGTTCAATCATCTCATTCGCGTGGAACACGACTCGATCCACCAAGTCTAGTGACCCAATTTAGAGTTCAAACCAGCTAAAATTCTGAAGGTTCATTTACCATTAGTTATATCAACTAGCATCTAAGATCCGAACCTAAAACATACGACATTCTGTAGCGTAGCTTATAAGCATGCCCCCCATACGCGATTCCTAATGAGTGGCATACCACTTTCCCGTACCCGTCTCGTGAACCGAAACGAATCAGGTTCCATGCAACTATGATCCTTCAATAGTCACCTATAATTCTGATGAGGACAAGAATGTCATTTCTTTATTTGTAGTTGAACTTTAATTATTTCAGTTTTTTTTAGTAGTTAATTTGAATTTCGAATTTCGAATTTTGGTTTAGATTTGAAAGTTAATAATTGGTTAGAGTGATTTGTGGGATTGTAATTGCTCTATAAAAGAGCTCTGTAATCAAAATTTTGAATTGATGAATTGAATGAAATGAAAATTTGCATAGCTTAATTTGGTGTGAAACCAAAGGGTGTGAAACCCTAAACGTTTTCTTTTTTTCTGTTCATTGTTTTCTCCCAGCCGCCACTTTCTTCTTTCCCTTCCACGAGAAAATACCCAGCCCTTCGTTGTCTCTCCACATCAATTCACAAATCCCGATTCTGTTCATCTTTCTTCAACCTTAGACCCCACTTCCTCTCTTCCCTGCCACAGACCACCACCATCAATCACCGCCCTTGCCCTTCCCACCTTCGAGCAGCAGCCACATCCTTCCCCCTCCTCCAAAGCCGCCAAGCCCACTGCTACTTCCCTGTTCTCCCGCAGTTCGAACAGCCTCCATGTCCACTGTTTTCTCTTCTTCCACCTCAAACAGCCACCGGATGAGTTTGTTTCAGAGTTCAAATCACTCCTCTAAATAAGATTGAAGATTTTGGGGTTCACTGCAAATAGTATTATTCACTTGATATAACTTATTTCAAGTCTTCCCTTGATTCCCATTTCTTGGACCTGCTTTGGAATAAATAATGGGTAAACACATTGTCTTCATCCCCTCTCCTAGGGAATAGATGCTATGTTGCAGGGCAGATTTCTGATTGATTAAAAATAAAAAAATAAAAAAACTGAAGCAGTACGAGATATGGGGTCGCTAGCTTGTCCTTTTGCAAGTCGTAAGATGGAAGCATAGCTTTGCTTTGGCATTTCTCCTAGAGGTTCTGCAGGTGCCGGTGGATCTCGCACCAGAATAGTTGTGTTTGGAAAAGAAGCAATTGACTCTTCTGCAGGAATTTCATCTAGTCCCAGCTTCAGAAATTTGCTGAGGCTCAGCTATGTGATATCAATGTCAGACAAGATCGTCACCTTCGTCCCGTCGTCTTTGTTGACGTCCAGCGACGCCACCACGCCTGCATCGCAGGTCACTCCTCTTGAGTTTCTCCGTTCCTTAGCTTGTACCAATCCGGGCTTAATCTTGAAAGGCCCAACTGTTGAAGAAGCCCTAGATGCAGAACCGGGCTCAGTTGGAGTTGATTTAATTTTGGGTCTGATTTGTTTCCATCAAACCAAACCGGATTCAGTTGGATATAATTTTCAGTTTAGACCCAACCTATAGTGGCAACGGATCCGTGGTGCTTCATATTTGATTCAAATCCGACGATGGTATCATTTCTTTCAACTCAGTACTTTTCTGTTAATCTCATTGTTATTAGTTAATTGCATGAGTAGTTCATCTCTACATTCTTATCATATATTCACTGCTTAATTTATATCCGTGAGTTGAGAGTACTGAGCATGTGATTGTTGAAAAATTGATATTGATCTTAGAACTTGCGAAATGATAATTAATATTGCGATTAAAATATTCGAGATTGAAACTGTTCATGATTATCATATCAAATCTTATTAAAATCCATTTGTCGCATTAACTGTTTTATTTAATTTCCTACCGAATATTATGAATTTTGGCGAAACGTTGTATTATTCGAATTAAATCGCTGATTCTGATAGACCCCCCCTCCCCCGTTTCGCATCATTTTGGTATCAGAGCACCTGGTTCTAGGGCAGGAAACTTTTTTTTTAGTTGAATCTTTTATTTGATAAAAAAAAACGCATTCATCTCATTTAGCTGTTTGTGCACACCATTCATCTCATCTAATTGTTAGTGCATGTCCACTCGCACAGATCTACCCTGATTAGGAGAGTCTAGTGAATCATCTAGTGAGTCCAGCCTGTCAGGTAACACAGATCCCGAACTCCTTGAGAAATTCGCTGAATTAGCAGCACCAATTGATGAAACCCACGAAAGATTAGTGAGGTTAAAAAAATGTGGATTACAACTCCGCCACGAGGTCAAGGCTATGATTACCCACTGCAAGGTCATGGATACATAGTTCATCGACCCCCACCTCAACCCATGCCTGATCCACCAACCTTTGATGGTAGGCTCGACCCAGAAACTTTCTTTGACTGGCTGAAGAGCATGGATCTCTACTTCGATTGGTACGCCCTGACAGAATCCCAAAAAGTTAAGTTTGCCACAATGAAGCTCACCGGACCCGCTTGCCAATATTGGTCCAACTTCGAAATGATAAGGCATATTAGAGGTGAGTTACCAATTTTTACTTGGCGAGAAATGGTCGACGAACTGAAACGAAAATATCTCCCGCCATCGTTTATTTATAGATTGCTAGATAAGTGGCATTGTCTTACTCAGGGAACCAAATTTGCAAAAGAGTATGTTGCTCAATTTGATGAATTATTTACTCGATGCAGCACCATTGAACCAGAGGCACCGATAAAAGTCTTATCAAAATTTAGAGATGGATTAAGAAGCGACCTCCAAACCGAACTCTTTGCTAGAGGAGTAAACACCCTTGAGAGAGCTTACGCCTTAGTTCAAGAGTTAGATGAAGCCAAATTACACCAATCTCATAGGGCTCAGAATTTTCAAACTCATTCCTCCCAGTTTTCCTGTGCCAATACCTCTAGTCAGTCTCTGAGTCGATCTAACCCTAGTTCTTCCCAATCTAGAGTTGATCCCAAAGGCCAGAAGTCAGAGAGATCTCTCTCTAAACTTAGCCCAATAATTCAGTGTTATAATTGTCAAGGATATGGGCACGTTGCTTCTGTCTGTATAACTCCGTTCAGAGTTAGAATTAATAAGCCGCCTGTAACGAAATCAAAATTTATTATTGAGGAAACCGTTAACCAGACCGTAGATTTGACAGAATCTAACTCTGACAATAAAATCCAGGGTAGTATAATCGAAGAACCATGCACTTCCATTCCTTCTGAAACTACCCCTGCCATTGTGGAGTTGATTGAATTTTCATGCAATGACAACACTCCGACTATTCCCCAAGCTACCCCTTTGATCACGGAGTCCACTGGTGTTATCCCTACAACACTCCGACTATTCCCCAAGCTACCCCTTTGATCACGGAGTCCACTGGTGTTATCCCTGAAGTTGTTCTTGAAATTGAAACTCCAACTCTTCCTGAACCAACTCCTGTGATTGAAAACGTTGTTGATATTCCCCACGAAGTCCTCCCGGACAAACATGACACCCAACACGTTTCAGATTTGGTTCTTGAAGCAATTCACTCAGATAATTGTATGGGAGTTGAAACTCAAACTGAGCATAGTGAAACAGCTACCATATTAGATATCAAATCCCCATGCATTGTCCCGGTAGTCACTCACACATATACTGATCTTTTTTGGGAATATATAGTGATTAGGGATACAAGTTTGAGCACGAGTGTTTTCATTTTCTTTCTCTCTCATATTAAGCGCACAGAAACATTCCTCACTATCATTGCCAGAATAAGAAATTTGTTGTTCATATTAACGAAAGAACTCCTAATTATTCCTTTTGATCGAGGACGTCATGCATGTTAAGTACTTCGTTGAGTTTACATCTGCCTTTGATCATATTGTTCGAGTCTGCATTTCATACATACTCATTTGAGTTGATTTACATCACTGTTATTTTGCATTGATCATATATTGGGGAATCGGTGATCTAAATTGAATAAATACATTGTTAACTGAAATATATGATATGGAATCAGGACGTTATTTAAAATTATTAATGCTGATATTTTAGATGGTTTGGACTTGTCCAATACAGTTTATTTATAGCTGTTTAAGATTTGACATGATATTTATGAGCTTTTCCAACTCTTGAACTATTAATAGCAACATTTATATTATCGATTTGGTCATAGTTCTATTCTCAATATTGATTGATTAAGCAGTCACATGTTATTGGCAATCCACTAATATAAGCCTGACACTAGCCTATTGTTTCTGAGAGTTCTTTCACTTTACCCCCACTTCTATATATATTCACCCATACAGGAGTGAATTTTGATAATATTTTAGATGGTGAATTTACAATGCAATCTAGCTAATGATTTGAGATGCAGAAAAATAACTGATGACAGATTAAGATGCAGGCAGAGTATATTGAAGATGACAAGTTTCTGCAGCTAACTCGACGGAGTCGAGTTTTCTCCCACCCGGGGAGAATGATGAGGACAAGAATGTCATTTCTTTATTTGTAGTTGAACTTTAATTATTTCAGTTTTTTTTAGTAGTTAATTTGAATTTCGAATTTCGAATTTTTAATTTTGGTTTAGATTTGAAAGTTAATAATTGGTTAGAGTGATTTGTGGGATTGTAATTGCTCTATAAAAGAGCTCTGTAATCAAATTTTTGAATTGATGAATTGAATGAAATGAAAATTTGCATTGCTTAATTTGGTGTGAAACCAAAGGGTGTGAAACCCTAATCGTTTTCTTTTTTTCTGTTCATTGTTTTCTCCCAGCCGCCACTTTCTTTTTTCCCTTCCACGAGAAAATACCCAGCCCTTCGTTGTCTCTCCACATCAATTCACAAATCCCGATTCTGTTCATCTTTCTTCAACCTTAGACCCCACTTCCTCTCTTCCCTGCCACAGACCACCACCATCAATCACCGCCCTTGCCCTTCCCACCTTCGAGCAGCAGCCACATCCTTCCCCCTCCTCCAAAGCCGCCAAGCCCACTGCTACTTCCCTGTTCTCCCGCAGTTCGAACAGCCTCCATGTCCACTGTTTTCTCTTCTTCCACCTCAAACAGCCACCGGATGAGTTTGTTTCAGAGTTCAAATCACTCCTCTAAATAAGATTGAAGATTTTGGGGTTCACTGCAAATAGTATTATTCACTTGATATAACTTATTTCAAGTCTTCCCTTGATTCCCATTTCTTGGACCTGCTTTGGAATAAATAATGGGTAAACACATTGTCTTCATCCCCTCTCCTAGGGAACAGATGCTATGTTGCAGGGCAGATTTCTGATTGATTAAAAATAAAAAAATAAAAAAACTGAAGCAGTACGAGATATAGGGTCGCTAGCTTGTCCTTTTGCAAGTCGTAAGATGGAAGCATAGCTTTGCTTTGGCATTTCTCCTAGAGGTTCTGCAGGTGCCGGTGGATCTCGCACCAGAATAGTTGTGTTTGGAAAAGAAGCAATTGACTCTTCTGCAGGAATTTCATCTAGTCCCAGCTTCAGAAATTTGCTGAGGCTCAGCTATGTGGTATCGATGTCAGACAAGATCGTCGCCTTCGTCCCGTCGTCTTTGTTGACGTCCAGCGACGCCACCACGCCTGCATCGCAGGTCACTCCTCTTGAGTTTCTCCGTTCCTTAGCTTGTACCAATCCGAGCTTAATCTTGAAAGGCCCAACTGTTGAAGAAGCCCTAGATGCAGAACCGGGCTCAGTTGGACCCTATTTATAGGATTACACTAGTCTTAGAGATTTTAACTTTAAACAATTCATAATTATCTAGAACTCTATCCATAACAATTAAGGATAGAATATATTTGTTCAAAAACTTTATCCATAACAATTAAGGATAGAAATAGAATTGCATTGCATGTATACCTCTTCTAATGACATTAGTGAGACCAATTGGGTCCTATATCGAGAACCAATTATTAATCAAATTAATAATTTTAATTTAACAATCAAATCCTTATCCGACCAATTGTTCATAAAAGCTCTTCCATAATATAGGATTAATTATTAATAAATAATATCTTACATTCACTCCCTTCCAGTATCATTTATTTTAGGCAACTCTTTTAAGCAGGACAACTCACCTATTTGCTCATGCCTAAATTTGCAATTCCCATGAACATAAATAAAAATCATTTTGAAATATTAAAATATTTTATTTTTATAAGAAAGTAAATTTTTTAAAAATATTTTCAAAACCACCTGCCTACAGGACTTTAATAGCTACATGGGAATGCATAATAAATTAACTCATCATAATGAGCATACTGGATCCTATCTAGACATCCATTATTTTCCTAAATAAAATTTAGCAACACAATGTTTCAGGTTGTGTAGCGCTTGCTAAACAAGCTTAACCATCACATCAAAGCATACTAAATTATTAAATCGAAAATAACAATATCATCAAGTCAAAGGGACCATGTAACAATTTGAATTTTCTATCTCTTAGGTGACTCATCCTAGAGAGTTCAAATACGGTCTAGTGCTACACACATCATAATTCGTGCTTATGACATACACCCGGAGAATCTCCATTCTCAATGGTTGAGACCCACCACCATATCTCATATATCGGTGTCATGCATAATAACCTGTTATAACAAAGTTATCCTTTACTAGTTATAGGTTAAGCACAAATTTAAGAAATTTCTAAGT